AAGGGCGGGAATAGAAAGACTTGCACAAATACATGTGCCAGTGATGCCTTTTTAGAGGAGCTGGTATCCTCATGTCGTGGTTTAAACCCAGTCAGGTAACTCGTTCGCTCACTTCCCCCCCTTTCTTGCCCTCCCCCTGCTCTCGGAGGGACGGAGAGGAGAATCGGAAAGAATGCAACTCCCACGGGTTGAGATGAGAACAGTTTAGTAACTAAGGTATAACACAAATCACTACTGCTACCACCAATGATAATAATGATAAAGGAAATAACAAGGGAAGAGAATACATCATCTCACCACCAGCTGACCGATAACTCGCCCCCCCTCAGCCCGACCAAGCACCGACCGATACCTCCTCCAACCCTGCAGTCTCCCAGCCCTTCCGGCTCACTCCCAGTTACATCCTGGGCATGATGTGCTGTGGTATGGAATACCTCTTTGGTCAGTTTGGGTCAGGTGTCCTGTCTCTGCTTCCTCCCGGCTTCCCCTCCTCCCTGGCAGAGCATGAGGCTCACAAAGTCCTTGGCCAAACCAAAACGTCGCTTGTTATCAGCTCTGTTCCCGAGCTGAAAGTCAAAACATTGCACTGCACCAGCTACCAAGAAGGGGAAAAATGACTGCTACTGCTGAACCCAGGACATTATCCACCCCTTATTCCATACCATTCACGTCATGCTCAGATCCCACATTTTCAATATACCATCACTCTTATCTTAGTGCATGGACCAGTCCCTATAAAGCTGCTGAGTCCATCTGGTCCATGATGTCAGGCTCCATCTCTTGTAACAGTCTTCCAGAGCAGGAGAGACTGTGTGCAGTGTTCACACTCGTAAATAACCTGGGCAATAGTGTCCATTGCTAAGTCCACCCCTCGATCATGAGTCCATCTCTGTGTTGCATCTCTGCTCTGATGGCCTGAAGTGCCATGGGCCCACCAGGCTTAAAATAATTCACTGTCCCCTTCAGCAGTTTCTGCAGCTTGTTGCTGGGGACTCCATACAGCTGCCTTCCATCTCCGATGCTTCCAAAGCACTGGAGGGGCCCAGTGGACTAGATACTTGCCCATACTGTCCCACACACCCTGCCACTCATGACTGTCCAGCCTTGGGGAAAACCTCTTGGTCCCCCCATATCCTCGTCTAACCCCAGACAAGACCCAAACCTGACTCTGCTTAACTTTTGAGATCAGACAAAATGGTCGTGGGTAGAACACAGCCTGTGTGTGTGCCAACATGCTGATCCCCATCACAATCAGCAGGCAGGTCCCAAGGACACCCAAAGGCCATTCAAAACCTTCAGAACTCTCAAACGATGCTGCTGTACTTGTCACTGGGGCTGGTGTAGCCGCTGTGCTTGCCGGCTCTCCCACCGCCAGCTTCTCTTTTCCTGAGTCCAGCTCTTCCCCCTCTGCCTTGCTGGGAAATGCTGCGTGGTCTCCTGCATCCTCCTGGGGCTCGGCAGGCGGCTTCCGGGAAACGCTCTCGGCCGTCGCGGGGCTCGGTTCGGCCGCGGGGCTCGGTTCGGCCGCGGGGCTCGGCTCGGCCGCGGGGCTCGGCTCCTCCGCCGCCTTCTCCCGCTGCTCGGCAGCCCCTTCTTTCTGCTCCTCGACCGCCCCGACCTCCTCCACCGGCAGCCGTCCCCTCGCGGCCTCCGGCCCCGCTCCTGCCGCCCCTTGGTCCCCGGGGCCGCTCTCCCGGGCCGCTTCGGCTGCCGCCGGCTCCCGAGGCCGCTCCCCCTCGGCTCCCCGCAGCCTCACGAAGATGGAGAGTAGGGTGAGGGCCGGGACGGTGAAGAGCAGCCGGACGGCCAGGTACAAGTCCACGGCCACGTCCGTCCCGCCCTGCTGCTGGAGCCCACCCGTATTACAAGCCATTGCCATAAAGCACAGTGAGACAAGAACCTTAGCCCAGGCCCCATACTTGATAAACACTAACACAGCAAATACCGGCTCTACGTAAGTTACAACATTCTGAAGCTGTGAGATCAACAAGAACAACTCTGAGAGCCTGCTCCGGGAGCAGGGGGAGGGCAAGAAAGGGGGGGAAGTGAGCGAACGAGTTACCTGACTGGGTTTAAACCACGACACCTCAGCGTAAGATGAGTTTGCTCTTCTCCATCAGCAGTTTCCCTTCTTCCTTTAGGAAATGTTAGAAATATGTCTCTAATGTTTTATTTTCTTTTCTTCCATAAATCAGACAGTTAAATCATAAGCACATGGTAAATGAAAAGAGTTGTTGACATGCAAGTACAGATGAGCAGTGTGGACCTCCATCCTTGGAACTGTCTTACAAGGTGGTCCAGTGGGACCTACTGAGAAATTTTGCCCGTGGCCTGATATGCTACTTCTGTATTAAGGCCTGTCTCTTTTCACTAAAGCTTGACTGGTTGTACTGCTAAACTATTAGAAGAGTCCCAGCAGGGTTTAGGCCAACTATTATTCACCCAAACAATTTCCAAGATACAGCTCAGGACTTGGCAAAGGTGAAAATGCTCTCCCAGCTGGTTGCTCTATATCTAGCCACAGCTGCTTTCAGGTTGTTCATCCATCCAGTATGGGACCATCTGGGCAGACATAGAAGAAGCATAATGATGGTATTTCCAGGACCTTTGCAATCCACCTTCCTTCCTTGAAGCCCATGGGTCCTCATAGTTCAAGATACTGTGATCACACCTAAAACCCAGTCCTTTCTCTGAGATGTTTGCTACCACTAGCGTGATTTACAGACTATTTCCACCTGGCTAAAAAGCAGGCTCTCAGACTGCACTTCCCTCTCATATCACTGACTGTAATTACTAGGTGAGGAGAGTATAAATTGTTTGAGTGCCTTCATTAAGGATGCAGGTCTCTCTACTTAGTGTAGATGGAGTTAATTGCAGAAAGCGCCATCTGGGACAGGTGCTGGAACTGGATGCTCAGTTGGAAATAGGTGTCTGTCTTCACGTGGACTATAGGGGCCATTTAGGGGCCACCAGAATAGACAGCTACAGTAGCCATTTCACCCTCTGCTGTATTTATACTGCCCCAAAAATGGGTATGCAGAAAGCTGAGCTCAGCACATTTGCTGGTGAGCAGTCTGTGGTAAATCTGGTGTTTCCCATGCTCACTGAACCCAAACAGGACTGCAAATATATATGTATATAAACAATTAATTGTACATGAGCTCATTTTAGGATGGAAGACTGTACTACATATTAGATGAATGGTAGTTCAGGCCATTTTTCTATGAAGACTTGCACCTCTGCCAGCACATACCAGTTGAGAATCTGGCCTCTTGCTTCTTATATTGTACGTTAACTTTACTTAATTGGTAGATTTTCCATGCTTACTAATTACAAATATATAACCAGACATCTTTGTTTATGCTTGTTTGAGCAGGGAAGGAACTGTTTCAAAGAAAAGATGTTTTAAGAATGGCTTAATTGCAGTCCCACATAAAATCAGGGGCTTGTGCTTACCACACAAATTGGTGGAGCATGGAGGAGGGGGGTATTTAAGAGCAGCTAGGCAGTATTTGCAGCTTGTCCATCAGTGGGAGAAGAAGTCACATATCTACATATTGTACCTACACCCTTTTTCCCCATGTCACATCTGTTTCTGAGTGATCAGAAATGAACGTAGGTAGGAGCAAGCCATAAGGAAAAATTTGAGACCCAGAAATAAGTAACAGCCCTCCCTGAACCAGTGTCTTTGTGGGGACTGTTTTTTGCACATATATTTTCTGAGGCAGACTCACATTCCTCTGAGCTTGGCACATTCTGGTTAAGATGAGCCCAGCATCCAAATGTTGACACAAAAGCTGACTACACCATATACCATGGCCTCATGCCACCTCCAGCTGGCCCATGGCCGTGCTGGCACTGGCTTTGGTTACTTGATTTAAGACAATTATAGAAGAGGGAAGGGCAAAGGGTGCCTGAGGTGGGCTTACCTGGTATTCCAGCTGGAGGAAATGGCCTGCATTCTTCTGCAGAATAAGCAGAGAGGGATGAGTAGAGGGAAACAAAATAAACAAAGGAAACCAATGGTGTCATTAAAAAGAGGATGTATCACGTTTACCATGAGAGCATGTGACTCAGACATCCAGACATGAACATTCCTGCAAAGCCCCAATTGCACACATGGAACCAAATTTTTTTTTGGCTTCCCAGAATGGCTTAATTTTATGATTCCGTGACTCATTAGAAAAAGCAAAGTCCCTAGACATGCTGCATTGAGACTCAGTAAACACCAGCTACTGATGGGGATATACGGGAAAAATGGAGCCGGTGGGGGATAGATGTGGGGATGGAAGGGAGAGAGGAGCAAGACTCACAGCCTCTTGCCGACCCCCTTTCTCCTTCTAGTGGCTTTGTAAACATGTTTCTCTCCTTCTTTTTTTTTAAGATTGGAGTGGAGGGGTTAACAGAGGTCATGTTAGTTTAAAAAATTATGGTTAACCTTACAAGCTGGGTTGCCTTAGGTCACAGTGATACAATTCCCCTCCCTTCTCCTGTGCAGCGGTGGTTCACAGAAATTCCTCTAACGTGGGGAAGGACAGGGCCTGCCAAGGCTATGAGCAATGCAGAGCAGACTTAACTGCTTTTATGCACTGCTTAACTAATCATTTTAAAAAGAAACGGCCAAGTTGGAACAACTGCCTTTTTCTTCAAGGAGGAACATTTTCCCCTTTTCCTTTTTTCCCCACGTCCCCCTTCTTCCCTTCCTCCCTCTCGGTGTTTTGTTTTTCCCCTCCGTTGCTTGGCTTGGCGTTTGAAACAGGTTCTCGATATCTGACACCTCTTGAAAGTGTAGTTTGGCAAACAGGAATCTAGTTCGACTCCAAAAGGGCCCTGCACAGGGCTTGCTATGAAAACACCTGGATGTCTCCTGTGCCTGTAAGAACCAGTCCTGCTTCTGTAGAAATAACAGCCGCCCTCTCCCTTCCCCCAACCCCTGCTCTCACTTCAAAATAAATAATTAAAAAACATTAAAATGCTGGCACTGTTTTAGTGAAAAACAGGTGGTTCGAGGGCACTGCGGAAGGGGATGAAGTCCGTCCCAACGACAGTGTGCAAAAGAGCTGCACAGAAAGGATTTTGATAGCAGCACTCACATCTGTGACTGATTCCCCCAAGCTCAGGACAAATTAAGAATCTTCCAGCAATTAGGGGAGAAAGCTTCAAAGTGCAATCAGCAGACCTTAGAAGAATATGTGCTTGGGCTTTGAGGGAGGCTAATCCTGCTGCTTGCACTGGGTTCCTCTCTGCTGTGTGCATTTTCCAAGGCCAAATTTTGGCCTGCTTCTCAGTCACACCATATAAAATAACAAACACACAGTCTAAGGAAAACAATTTTTAAGACACAGTGGAACCCACTTTAATGAAGAAAACTGTTAAATGCATAAAACCCCCATGTGCCAATGGATAAATGTGCTGGAAGTGTGAACTGTTAAACCAACAAAATTGTTAACACATCATACTGCTGGGCAAAAAAATAAAATAAAGAAAAAATAAAAAGGGAGTGAAACGGTTTTTTAACATGCAACCCACTTTGCCTTTATTGTTCACATTCCTGCTGACATAAAGTTTCCTGATTTGTCCCCTGGGCCCAGAAATATGGCAAAAGCGGGAACATTAATTGTATTTGCCCCCTTTAAACTGCCCTCCCTGCTTTTAGCTCACAGTGGCCAAGGATAGCTTCACGGAATAGGGAAAGTTTGCCCTTTTTTATTCAGGGTGATGAGTGAACAAGTTCGTGTGGATTTTTTTTTAATTGGTATAAAACTTTAAACTATTCCTGAATGTCTTTTTTTTTGTTTGTTTGTATCTGTGAGGAAAACTGGGACTAGTTTTACGTTTGCTTTTCCTTAAAATTCTTAAGTCCCTCCATATTCCTGGTTTTCCTTGGGGTCGATGCTGAAATGAGGTTTTTCCCCTGGCCTTGCTGCTTCCTGTGAAGATGTGGAGCTCTTCCTGAGGAAAAGCCTGATCTCAGGAGACCCCTGAAGGCAACCGCTTTGATAAGTGTCCAACCCTCTGGGCGTGCTGATGTGGTGGTACCTGGACTTCTGCCTCACTGTGAAACATGAGAAACTAAAAATTAGTGCACTGAATTTATCTTATCTGACTCCTGAATTACACGCTTTTCACAGATTTCGTTTCCACAGGTGGTCAAAATGGAATAGGTTGATGTTTCTTGGTTTTATATTTCCTTTAATGAGAAAACAAGGAAATAAAAAGCATAGAAAATGTGAATGAAACTTAAGGACTTGGTAAAAATGCTCTTAAGGAAGAAGTAATTTAGAATATTTCCTATTTATAACATTTTTCTTAAAATTGTAGGATCTGCATGGATTTCTGTTCAGATAAGGTCTGTGTTGCTGTTTGCCTGTTCTAGAGGCCTTTTAGGTGCTGCTCTATGAACGCAGGTATGAAAGTGCGTTTATGATGACTAAACTCCAACTGTGAACTCTAACAATAAGGAGTTTATTCCTGTGGTTCCAAATGTTCTAATTTTCTTCATTTTTCTGTGCCCCTTGCAAAATAACATGAGGTAGTGCCTGGCTTGAGGATGAGTCCTCTTTTTCTTGGCACTTGCTGATTTTGCTTCTTAGACTTATGTTTGCAAAAAAATTCCAGTCCCCTAGGGCCACTAAATATGTACTGCATTGCAGAGTCTCCATAGACAGGTTTGCACCTCCAATATGCTTGGATCTCCTGCTCCTAAGGTGGACCAGTAACTCTACCATGTATTTGAGACCACTTTACACACCAAAGAAACTTAAATCAGAGTCAGGTTTTGTGTAGTTAAGCAAAAGATTTAAGTTCTTAGCTACAAAAAAGAAAGCAAAGTTGCGACAGAGTATTATAAGCTTTAAAATCTGACACTGGCTTCTTCACTGATATGCATTTAGGGAATCTCTGGGTCCTTTCTTATCACCTAAAAGTCAGCCCAGCTGTCCCTTATCTGAAAGACCTGTGGGTGCTCATGGGATCTCTTTCTGCAAAGAAACCATGAGAATATCCCACTCCCTCTTCCAGGCTGGCTGCAACATCTCTCACCTAACATCAGCAGCAACCAAAAAATCAAGTGCTTAGTCTAGTTGCTTGCTCCAGCTCCTGTTTTTCAGTGGAGGAGGGTGGAGGGCTACTCATTCCCATCTTGAAGAATTAATCCTACCTTTGCCTTAGATTTATGGCTTTCTTCAAGGCTTCAACACAGCATATAGTTTTCTACCATTGGAAATGTTATCTATGTAACACTTTTAATTACTAGCCTGTCTGAGTTATACTGGTGCACTTCCACAGTGACCACCCACAACTGTTTTTTACAGTGTTAGGCTGGGGAGAGCTTCAATTCTTTTCTTTTACAATTCACAAGGTCTTGGGCTGACATGGAGGGTTCAAAGCAATAATTGTGTGATTCACTGAGGTCCTCTTGCTACTGCATGAGCCAAAGTCCTCTTTGTACAAAATGGGAGTAATCACAGAAATTCTGGGATAGAAAGAGCATCAAACTATTCCCCTGGTTTGTGGCAGGGCCAGGAAATCTGGTTTATTCCTGACAGATGTCTATATAATCTATTCTTAAAGCCCTCCAAAGCCTTCCATAGTAAATCACTTTGAGATCTAAAGGTGCAAAATGCTATGTAAGACCTGAATATTGTTATTATTATTAACAGTGTTGTTGTTAGTAGGACAGCTTAGCAGCACAGTCCCAGATGGCACTTTAAAAAAGAGCCCAGAAGGAATGAGTTATAGTGAGTTGCGCCAATTCTGGTGGAAGTGCTGATCCAGCACTGCTGGTTCTCCTGCCTGCTGCTGGATTAGTCTAAATTAAACTCCACAGCCTTTGCCTGTGCTCACACAGAGGCCAAGAACTGCCAATGATTGCTATATTATAGGGCTGGATTGCTCTACTAAAGCCACCGGTGATATTACTGACGGATTCCCATTATGAAGACAACTACATATTGCTTACTTGGTCCTTTTTGCAGGGGCCACGTGCAGTGTGTACACAATATCATGTGCTTCTCCCTTCAGAAACTTGGTTCATGATTATCAATCGAACTGTCTATGTAACTGGGAAAGCTGGTAATTGTGTATTCTGTGTGTATTCACGTATATCCACAGTATATGTGGATGTTGATCCTGTACTCCCACTGATGCTGGCCCCAACAAGTGGTTCTGAGATAAAATTTCACCCCATCTACCTACCAGACTGACCCTCTGTTCATTTGGTTTCCAACATGCTCCAGAAAATCATATGTATATTCAAGTATAGATCTATCATTAGAAGTATTCTTGCCAAGGAATGAGTTATTGTCCCCTACATCTTTGCTTCTACCTACTAGATGTCCCAATTAACCACATACTTTCCCTCTTTCCCCATTGCCCTTGGTGCTACCCTAACCATACCCAGCTCTCTCAAAATGAATGAAAGAATTCTGAGGCGGTGGGTGACCAGCATTTGGGCTGAGGGCCTTTGCACTCAAAGCTTGAACATTCTGAGTAGAAGATATTGAGCTTAAATAATCTTGGATAAAATTCCTTTCTAGGTAGTAAATCTAACACTGCTGAGACAGAGGTTCTAGCACAAGGAATGAGGTACAGTCCCTTCCATTTGTAGGCAATACCTAACACCTCCTGAAGTTTGCACGAGCCAGAGACTGTTCCTGATGCACAGTTTGGATGTGGCTGTCCTGTTTAGAAGAATAAAAAAGCTGAATAGTATGGTTGTGCCTACACAGTGCCCTTTAGACTTCACACTACAAACAGATACATTTAGTGGTTGGGTCTCTAGCTAAACAGTAAATGGAAGAGTATACACCCCAGAACAGTTTATCTAAAAAATTCTATGCCTTCATATTCCTCTCACCATGTTACTTAGAATAGCACAATGTGTCCACATAAAGAGGTTTATTCCCTTTTGATTCTGGTGTAGGAAAAGAGAAGCGTTGCATGATTTTAACCAAATATATTTGTCAAGTGAAAAAATATGTAAGACTTTCCTTGAGAACTATTAGGCTGCTGTGCCTAAATTGAACTTCGTCAACACCTGCCTCCACAAAACTAGTGGATTACCCAGAGCTGCAGACCCAAGGCAGGACTGCAGCCAAGGCACAATTGCATATTGAGAGTATTACTCAGAGTAAGCACTCTTCTGTTTCACATGGTTTATCCTACCCTTGTCATGGGAATCAGGGATCATGTTTGTGTATCCTGGTGAATAATCTGGCTCTGCTTCTTGCATTTCTGCAGAACAACATGGCAGTTTGTCTCCTGGTCTGCACCTGAGAAGCTGGCATATTTTGGTCTGGGAATGACAAGGCATTTGGCGCACCTGGGAGAGAGGATCCTTGCTATGCCTGCACATTCATTTCAGTAGACAGACAATCTCCCAGATGGTTAATCCTGTACGACATCACTAGACAAACACCAAAAAACACTCCTCTGCTCAGGCTCCTGTATCTGCTGCGTGGTTCTGCAAAATTAAAATGTTGCCTGTCTTTCAGTATTCTTGAACTTATGGTACAGTAACTGTTTCAGAAAATACATATGTATATAAAAACTGTCATATGTGTCACAGAATCCTCCATAGTAATAACCAAGAGTCTGTTGCCTTCACATTTCTATAGGTGAAAAAATAGGTTTATTAGAGCTGGCATAACTACTCCCCAGGCATCCAGTCTGTATTCGCCTTTCTTTAGCTGGGGCTGTTGTACCTCAGTTACCAGCCTTCAAAAAGGAAAAAATTTGGAGCTTAATTCCTCCCTGGCTTCAACTTTTGTATGTTTTTGGCTGTAGATTTATGTTCCAAAAACTTGGATTTACATAAAGACCTATCTATTTGCACATAATTTGCAAGAGTTCCTTTTAGCCTATAATTGTGCTAAATACAGTTGTGGAGGCCACAGCATACCTAAAGTATTGCCGAATGGATTTTTAAGAGTAATTTTTTTTTTAGAAGTGTGCTAAAATAGAAAGATTAGAGGAAAAAAAGAAAAAGAGAGACGAAAGATGGCCTTGCGGTTAAAATCCTGGCCTGCAATTCACGAAATCTGGGTTCAATTTCCAGCTTTGCCATTTACTTCCTGTGTGACCTTGGGCAAGGTGGATAATCTCAGTGTGCCTCAGTTCATGGGCATACTAATAATATTGCCTTTGTCTTTCGTGCTACCTAGAGCATGAACGCACCTTGTGCTTGTTTGCACAGTACTTAGCACAACTGGGACCTGGTCTCTACACAGCCTTCTTGCTTTACTATAATGGTAACAATAATAGTAATAATGTTTTTACTCAATATTATGTGTTGAAAGAACAGAGCAGGTCATATAAAGGGGTTTATTTTACCGTCTTTGGTGGGTGCAACCAAAAAGAAGGAGCCTTTTGGTGGCAATGTCATACACAGCTTTGCTCTACCTGATAACCAAACAGAGGCTGCTGGCTATTAGTGATGTCTTTTAACACCTCGTTGCAGGGTGTAAGAGGTTTTAAGAGACCAGTATAGTCTACAAAATCCTGCAAAATAATATGGAGCTGTGTGCTGTTAGGACACCTATGACTTCAGCCCTATCTTGTTGTGTGTCAGTATTCTCCTTCCCTCTACCCAAGAAAATCTCACTACTGTGAGCTCAAAATAAAACAGTCTGAGTGTTTCACTTCCCAGAATAAACAGGTTGAAAACAGTGGGGCTAAACACTGCTGTTAGCGTGGAGTACCTTATCCAGATGTGACTGGCTAAACTTTGCAATGCCAAATTATGAGATTAGTTTTGTGGATTTAGATCACTGGCTGATTAGTCTAAGAATAACTTCAGCATCTGAGCTCTGTCTTAGTTACCTGAGTTTTTTTGAATAAGTATAAGGGATCTGAAAATAACCTTAAAATAACAAATAAAAGGCTCACTTAAAGAAAGCATGTGCTGTGTGTCCTGACAATCTGTCATCTGTCTAGCCTGTGTTGTTAGGAAAATCACTTTTCTTGTGGGAGAGGAAGGAGACTAGTCAAAGTCCCTATGTAAAGAAAAGGAGCTGAAAAGAACTGAGTAGCTCCTGTGAGCTACTGTGCACAGACACTGCTACAAAATGAGGCCAAGACTGTGAAAAAGGATCAGTGCTTTTGGATGTTTGGTTTACAGCAGCTTGGAGAAGACCTGATTTTTAGGGATCAGATATTCAGTGCCATGTGAAAAGCAGGACAAGGCGGACAACCAAAATGATAGGTGCTTGTGACACAAAGGCCTGATAGATGACTTATAGCAAAATGACTTTTCATAGTTGACACATACATTTAACATCCATTTTCCATCCTACTGCTGTGGATGAATTAAAGCTGACTTCGATCTTCTGGTGCTCTCTGAAATCTGTTTAAAAGGTACCTGTCACTTAGGAAGACCTGGGAAAGATGGACAGTTTGACCTGGGCACCAGCTTTAAGAAATTATTGCAGCAGGGACTTGATAGT